AGAGAATCTTAAGCAAAAAGAGCAAAGCTAGAAGCATAATGCTACCCAACTTCAAACTATACTACAAGACTACAGTAACCAAAATAGCATGGTACTGGTGCAAAAACAGACACATAGACCAATAGAATGGAATAAAGAACTCAGAAACAAGACTGCACATCTACAAGCACCCAATCTTCACCAAACCTGACAAAAACAAGCAACGGGGAAAGGATTCCCTATTTAATAAATGGTTCTGGGAGAACTGGCTAGCCAATGTAGAAAACCGAAACTGAATCCCTTCCTTACACCTTATACAAAATTAACTCAATATGGATGAAAGACTTAAATGTAAGACCCAAAACTATAAGAACTCTAGAAGAAAATCTTGGCAATACCATTTAGGACATAGCCATGGGCAAAGATTTTATGACAAAAACATCAAGAGCAATTGCAACAAAAGCAAAAATTGACAAACAAGATCTAATTAAACTGCACAGCAAAAGAAACTATCATCAGAGTCAACAGAAAACCTACAGAATGGGAGAGAAATTTTTGCAATCTATTCAGCTGACAAAGACCTAATCTACAAGGAACTTGAACAAATTTACAAGAAAAAAACCCAAACAACAACTTCACTAAAAAGTGGGCAAAGAACACGAACAGACACTTCTCAAAAGAAGACACTTATGCAACCAACAAACATATGGAAAAAAGCTCATCACTGATCATTAGAGAAATGAAAAATCAAAACCACAATGAGATACCATCTTATGCCAGTTATAATGGTAATTATTAAAAAGTCAAGAAACAACAGATGCTGGCAAGGCTGTGGAGAAACAGGAATGCTTTTACACTGCTAGTGAGAATGTAAATTCAACCATTGTGGAAGAAAGTGTAGCAATTCCGGAAGAAAGTGTAGCAATTCCTCAAAGACCTAGAACCAGAAATACCATTTGACCTAGCAATTTTGTTATTGGGTATATACCCAAGGGAATATAAATCATTCTATTATAAAGACACATGCATGCATGTGTTCACTGAAGCATTATTCACAATAGCAACATGGAACCAACCCAAATGCCCATCAACAATAGACTGGATAAAGAAAATGTGGTACATAAGCTGGCACGGTGGCTCACACTTGTAATCCCAGCACTTTGGGAGGCTGAAGTGGGCAGATCACAAGGCTAAGAGACTGAGACCATCCTGGCCAACACAGTGAAACCCCATCTCTACTAAAAATACCAAACTTACCTGGGCGTGGTGGCATGCACCTGTAGTCCCAGCCACTCAGGAGGCTGAGACAGGAGAATCGCTTGAACCCGGGAAATGGAGGTTGCAGTAAGCCAAGATCACAACAGAGTGGGGCAACAGAGTGAGACCCTGTCTTGAAAAAAAAGCGGGGGGGCCAGGTGCAGTGGCTCACGCCTGTAATTCCAGCACTTTGGGAGGCTGAGGCAGGCAGATCACAAGGTCAGGAGTTCAAGACTAGCCTGGTTAACATGATAAAACCCTGTCTCTACTAAAATACAAAAAATTAGCTGGGGGTGGTGGCAGACACTCAGCTACTTAGGAGGCTGAGGCAAGAGAATCACTTCAACCCTGGAGGTGGAGGTTGCAGTGAGCTGAGATTGTGCCACTGCACTCAGGCCTGGGTGACAGAGTGAAACTCCATGTCCAAACAACAACAACAACAACAACAACAACAACAACAACAAAACAAAAGAAAATGTGGTACATATACACCATGGAATACTATGCAGCCAAATAAAGAAAAGAGATCATGTCCTTTGCAGGGACATGGATGAAGCCAGAAGCCATTATCCTCAGCAAACTAATGCAGAAACAGAAAAACAAACACTACATGTTCTCAAGTGGGAAGTGAACAATGAGAACACATGAACACAGGGAGGGGGACAACACACACTGGGGCCTGTAGGGGTGGTGGAGGCGGGGGAGTGAGAGCATCAGGAAAAATAGCTAATGCATGCCAGGCTTAATACCTAGGTGATGGGTAGATAGGTGCAGCAAACCACCACGGCATGCGTTTATAACCTGCACATCCTGCACGTGTACTCCAGAACTTGAAATTAAAAAACAATTTTAAAATGAAAGATGTTGGTCTATACTTATCTTTTCTCTTGTCTGTCTTTGGTATAACAGGGCAAGACACATGTTGGCCTCCTAATACAAGTTGTTAAATGTTCTCACTTCTGTGATTATTTTCTTTTAAAGTTTATGTAGGGTGGATATTATTTTTCCATTAAGAATTCACCAGTGAAGGTTTCTGAACCTGGAGAGTTCCTTTCCTTAATAGAAATAGGGCTATAAAGTTATCCACTTATTTTTTTATTGTTTGTTTATTTATTTATTTATTCTGAAGGTACATCACCAATCTACTTCTTGAATAAGCTTTAGTAGTTTGTGTTTTATTTTGTGGTGGTTTTTGTGTGGGATCTTGGCACAGAACTAGCTTCTGACTTCCCAATTGCTACAGTGATCATCTATGTATTTATTCATATCACCTTATGCTATTATTATTTTTTTCCATTCAATGACTGGAATCAAGAGATCACAGTATGATCTTTTGACAATGAACATGTGGCAGGGGGATCTTTGTGGCTGTGGCAAAGTAGGAGGCACCACAGATTTTGGGCTAAAAATAGAAGGAAGACAGGAATTTATCTGATGGCTCTGTCAGACAAATTTGCCTCTTTGAATTAGCTTGGGTTTTAAAAATGGGAGAAAAAATTTAGAAAAGAGTAACTGGCTCAGGGAAACTTGTAATTAAAAAAGAAAAAAAAACGAAACCTCCTTCTCAGCAAGCATTGGAAAAGCCAGATAAATTGGCAAGACTTACCAGCATGCTGCTTTCCCTCTCTTGCTCTCTCTCTGGTTTTTATTTTTTATTTTTATGACTTTCATAAGAAACAAGACTTGACTTTAGCATTTATTTTAGAATTGTTGGCACATCTGAAATGTAACCATTTTTTGGATTGGGATTTTCTGATAACAAAATAGGAAAAATTAAAAAATCCCCTCAATTCTTTATCCCTGTCCTATGTTTAAATATTGTAAATTACATTTGAGAATATTATAGTTACACTTGTTGGAACAGTACTCAGTGATTTGAATTGCCTATTTTAAAAGCAACTTACTTGTCAAGCTACTTTTTCACTTAAAATGTTACTTTTATTTATACTAAACCCTATACTATTTTCCTAAGGACAATTTGTTTACAAGTACAGAATAATCTATTTAATGTGCTTTGGTTTAATTTACTTATATGTGAGGTAAGTACTTTTTCTACCATCATCAAAGGGTTGCTACAAGAATAAAATCAGGCATATGCTATAAGACGTCGGTGAAGACAGATTAAAACCATAAATAAATGCAAACTGATAAAGGCAAACTGATATTATTATATCACTTTCCTTTATGGTGGGACATGATTACTATGATTGTAAATTTAAATGTGATAGGATAGTAGAAAAGGTCTATATGTGTGATCAGCTGGCCTTTCCACGTGGAATGTATATAGAAGTTGTCCTGTGGTTTGAGGAAGTAGCTACTGTTTACAGAGCCTCCCTCATGTGGCTCTGCCACACGCCTTGGCTAAAGGTAGTCTCACCCGTGATTGCCAGCCTGCAGGTTGGTTCACTGGGTGCTGCTGCTTCTCAGAATTCCATGACTAAGCCAGGGGTAGTGTTTGTTCTTTACTGATCGGTATTTCTTCTGCCTGCTCTGCTTACCACATCGTCACACCAGGCCTTGACCTTTGTGAACTTCTCTGGAAAGTCAAACATACCTAGAGGCTGACCAGGCTTAGGTCTAATAACACCATCAACTGCTCTTAGCAAGGTCATGGAAAAGAGGTTGGAGGTGATTCAAAGGAGAAGGAAACTTAATAGCTCATCCAGTTTAAATTTGTCATGACACAGATGGGAAAACAAAAATCCAGAGATGTTAGGGGACTCCATCTAGGATCCCTCTACTGTGATGTCTTTCTGGACATCCCAAGGTGATTGCAGTGGTGCTTTTCTGGCTGCTTGCAAAACTATTCTGTGTACTCCCCCATGACTTCTCACCCTTTGTTAGAATAATCTGTGGATGGTTTCTCTCTCACTAGACCTAGACCTCTTTAAGAGGAAGGCTGAGTCCCCCTGCTGGGTTCTATAAGGCCTGGAACACTGTTAAGTACTCATGCATGTTTGTCAACTTCGTGAATCTCTGTCATGCTGTCTGCTAGGTACTGTCGTTGTGGAGTCAGGTTCATGGAGATTAAGCAGAAACTTCAAGAAAGCCAAGCTCCACTTGGTAGCAGACCAGAGTCTGAGGGGTAAGCTAAACAGTAACTGGGAAGCACATCTAAGTAAGGGATGATTTTTTAAAAAGTGGATACAGGGCAGAAAGAAGGTGGCAAAGTGTTTCGGTTCCCTCACTTACAGATGCATTAGATTTATTCATTCATTCATTCAATAACTTTATATTTGGCCAGAAGTTGTTGTAGGCACTGAGGCTATAGTTGTGAATATAACAAAGTCCTTGCTTATATCCCAGTGGTAAGAAAGACAATAAACAAATAAATGAATAACCATTATAAAGTCAGACAGTAGTAAAGTGTTAGGATAAAAAAATAAAGGAGAGGGAAGAAATGGTCACTGATGGGGCTGCCATTTTACATAAAGTGGGGATGGAACGCCACTCAGAACAAAGATATGAATGAAGTGAGGGAGTAGCGACATGGGACTATTAGGGAAAGGGCATTTCAAAGAGAACAACAGGTACAAAGGCCCTGAGGCAGGATTGTGGTATTTGGGAAATAAGGAAACCAGAAGGTTAGAGTATCATGGGGGAGAAGAAAAGAGATAAAGAGGCCAGAGGGGTGTCACTCCTGTAATCCCAGCACTTTGGGAGGCCAAGACAGGCAGATCACCCTAGGTCAGGATTTGAGACCAGCCTGAACAACATGGTGAAACCCCGACTTTCTTAAAAAAACATACAAAAATTAGTTGGGCATGGTCGTGGGCGCCTGTAATCCCAGCTACTCAGGAGGCTGAGGCAGGAGAATTGCTTGAACCTGGGAGGCAGAGGTTGCAGTGAGCTGAGATCAGCCACTGCACTCCAGCCTGGGCAACAAAGCAAGACTCTGTCTCAAAAAAAAAAAAAAGAAAAAAAAGAAAGAAAGACAGAAGGAAAGAAAGAAGAAAGAAAGAAATTTATTCTGCACTAGTAAAATAGTATCCTTCCCAGCACCAAAGTCTTATTGATTGATTATCCTCTGACTATACAAACCAGTTCCAATAAAGAGAGTACCAGCCAAGTGCAGTGGCTCACACTTGTAATCCTAACACTTTGGGAAGCCGAGGTGGGAGGATCACTTGAGCCTGGGAGTTTGAGATCAGCCTGAGCAATAAAGGGAGACCCTGTCTCTACAAAAAGTACAAAAATTAGCCAGGTGTTGTGGTGCACACCTGTGGTCCCAGCAACTAGGGAGGCTGAGGTGGGAAAATTGCTTGAGCCCAGGAGATTGAGGTTGGAATGAGCCTAGATTGTGCCACTGTCTTCCAGCCTGGGTGACAGAGTGTCTCAAAAAAGAAAAAGAAAAAAAAGTTGTCATATAATGCTGTTGAAGGCTGACTTTTATCTCTCAGGAGTACCTTAATAAAGACCTTCCACCACCCCTTAGAACAAGTGCTCTGAGGTCAACAGACCCCTGGGAATTTATAGTCAGAGTTGTGGTGCACACCTGTGGTCTCAGCAACTAGGGAGGCTGAGGTGGCATCTGCTCTGCTCCTCTCCCTCTTCCTTCCTCTACCAGTGAGTGTCCTCCGTTATGGGGATGGAGCAAGTAGTACATTGTAAAAGGGACTTGTGCTGAGAAGCACCAGAGGAAAAGTAGGAGATGCTCGTTAAAGTGGAAGGCAGCTCTCTTCTTCCCCTTCTCAATTCTGCATTCTGCTCTCTCCCTTAAATGCCCCCACACCCAACCCCCAAACTCTTGAGAATGCCCAAATCCAACCAGATCAGGAAAAAATAAACTCACTGGCTCCTGTATTGAGAAGCCCAAGTGTGGTGCATCTTCAGGCATGTGGGATTCAAGCACTCAGGAATTTCTCCCTCTCACTCGGCCTCAGCTCTGCTTTCTTCTCTGTTGCCTTTGTTCTTTCAGGCTCCCTCTAAGTGGTGGAAAAGTTGACCTGCATGGTCATTACCACTCATCATTTCAGAAGGGAAAGCCTGCTTCTCTTGTAGCATTTCCATCAAATCCTGAAAAGAAAAATAATCTTGTTGGTTCTACCGGACTTGTGATACTGGACAAACCTCTATATCCAAGAGCTCGAGGCACTCCCATTGGCTCGCCTGGGTCACACACTCTTGAATGAGTGCATCCCAGGATCACAGGGAGTCTCTAGGGTGCTGTGTGTGTGGTGGAGGTAGGGAGACGGCAAACTCAAAAAGGAAGAGATGGTGGACATTTAAAGCCTACCTTCTGCCCACAGGTGTGTCAGACACAATTGCCAAAGGCCATCCTATTGTCCTATTGTTCCCCTTTCCCCCAAACAAACACGGAAAAACCCTCCTGACAATTTGGCAGTAGGTCAGTGTGGAGCATTTGTCAATTCCAGTATTAGAATGTCTGCATTGCAAAACCAGAAATGTCCAGTTCTGGTTTGGCACACAGAGAAGATTTTCAAGCCTTGGCAACTCCTCAGTGCAGGCAGTGGAGGAAATGCTCCAGCTTTGTGAAAATCTTCTCCTTTTCCTTCTCATGGAGAATAACTGTTCATCACTGCAGCCATGAACCTGCCAACTAAACAGATATGGTCTGAAAATCCAGGGACAAATGGAATCACTTTGGATACCCATAAATTTTAAAGCCAAAGAGGTGCCCCAGGGAACCAACTACATGAAGTTCTCTGGAAGCCACAGGACTGCAGGTTTAGTGGGGGTGGAGTCGACCATTGAATTTTACATAGGCAAATGTAAGACAATCTTATCCATAGAGAGAAAAATCCAAACTTACTGAGATTAAGAGGATGATAGTTCAAATAACAGCTAATTGTTATTAATTGCTAAGTTCCAAAGCACTTTTCATAGATTATCTCACTTAATTCTCACAACAGCCCTGTAAGGTAGGTACCATGATCATCTCCATAAAAGGCTAAATAACTTGCCAAAAATCACATATGTAGCAAGTGGTGGCAGAGTGAGGATTCATACCTGAACAGCTTAACTTTAAAGCCAGGGTGCTAATGCACTCATTCATTCATTCATCCATTCATTCAATGATTATATTGGATCCCTACTGCATGGTAGGAACTATTCAAGGTGCTAAAGTACAGCTGCGAACAATGCAAGTACAAATCCATGAAGCAGAGCTAGTGAGAAAGACAGTAAGTTGGAGAAAGAAGACATAAACTAGGTTAGATGGTGATCACGATTAAGGAAAAAACTAGAGCAGAGAGGAGAGAAAAATGTGCAGAGAGAGGGTCAATTTGGAGTCAGGGAACAGGCAAAGTCTCACTAAGGAAGTGGCATTAAATAAATATTTGAGAAAGTGAGGGAGCAAACCTTGCAGCTATCTAAAAGGACAGCATGAAAGGTAGAGGAGACAGTAAATACAAAGACGCTGAAGCAGGGGAAAGGCTAATGAGTTCTTAAATGAGCAAAGGAGTCCAGTGTAACTTGAACGGAGTGATCAAGGAAAAGAGCAAGAGGAAATGAGGTCAGAGAGGTAAATAGAACCTGGTCTTGTAGGACCTTGCAAGTAGCTATTAGGATTCTTTTTTTTTTTTTTTTTTTTTTTTGAGACAGAGTCTCCCTCTGCCACCCAGGCTGGAGAGTGTAGTGGCTCAGTCTGGGCTCACTGCAACCTCCACCTCCCGGGTTCAAGTGATTCTCCTGTCTCAGCCTCCCAAGTAGCTGGGATTACAGGTTTGTGCCACCACGCCTGGCTAATTTTTGTATTTTTAGTAGAGACAGGGTTTCACCATGTTGGCTAGGCTGGTCTCAAACTTCTGACTTCAAGTGAATCACCTGCCTTGGCCTCCCAAAGTGCTGGGGGATTACAGGTGTGAGCCATTGAGCCTGGCCAAGATTTTTTTTTTTTTTTTTTGAGATGGCCTGGCTCTGTTCCCTAGGATGGAGTACAGAGGCATGATCTTGGCTGACTGCAACCTCCACCTCCCAGGTTCAAACCATTCTCCTGCCTCAGCCTCCTGTGTAGCTGGGATTATAGGTGCACACCACCACATCCTGCTAATTTTTGTATTTTTAGTAGAGATAGGGTCTCACTATGTTGGCCAGGCTGGTCTCGAACTCCCGACCTCAAATGTTACACCCACCTTGACCTCCCAAAGAGCTGCGATTACACGTATGAGCCACCATGCCCAGCCTCCAACCAGGATTCTTTTAATCAAGTGTGATGCAGCCATCAGGGTTGGAGCATTCTAGAAAGACGTAACAGCATGTGCCGAGGCAACAGGAGCACATAAAAAAGGAGTTGCTGGAAGATTCGTTTCAACCCACAACCAAGTAGATATTAAATTTACTTTATACAAATGTTAGGGCCGGAGCACTTTGAGAGGCTGAGGCGGGAGCATCTGTTGAGCCCAGGAGTTCAAGACCCGCCTGGCCAATAGGGTGAAAACCAATCTTTACTAAAAATACAAAAATTACCTGGGCGTGATGGCTGGCAGCTGTAATCCCAGCTACTCCGGAGGCTGAGGCAGGAGAATCACTCGAACCCGGGAGGCCAAGGCCACTCGAACCCGGGAGGCCAAGGCTGCAGTGAGCTGAGATCACCCCACTGAACTCCGGCCTGGGTGATAGAGCAAGACTCGGTCCAGTCCCCTCCTCCTCCCCCGCAACCCAATTTTAGGAATAAATATCTTTTTATTTAAACTAAAGCGTGGGTACACCCCTACTCTAGGATTCTCCACCAAGGAAGAAGCAGCCATATTAGGATAATTTAGAGGTCTGTTAACCTTAGTAGACATAGTGTTTCTTAAAGGCTTGGGGCCTCAGACTGTACACAGGCTTCACATGGAATCTGATCTGTTCATTTATCCCAGTCCCTCACCCAGAACCGGAGTCTAGCCCTTCATGTTATAAAAAGGGCCAGAGGTCCAAAGAGAGTAAGTGCCTTGTGCAAAATTCTTCAACTACTGCGTAGAGGACTTTAGGGTTCAGTTAGCTCCGCCCATACTATCAAAGGCTCTTTCTAAAAAACGAAACATGATTACGTGCACACTGCCCCAGCGTTAACAAAGCTCTCTGTTAGCTGGGAAAGGCCCCCCTCCTGACTCACCAGTTTACCATGTGCATAGAGTGATCTACTGAACAGCAGGAAAATTATTGAGAAAACCATGGTCCCTGGCTCCAGACCCCAAGGTCGGGAGCTGGTTCACGTTTCCTCCCAGAGCCGGCAGGGGGGGCACCAGGCAAGGTTTGGAAGCCGCGCCTCCCTCCCACCCCTCCCACTTCCTCGCCCAACTTCCCACAGCCACAGCTTCAACTAAAAGTGGCCATTGACCTTTCAAGCTTTTGAGTAGTGATGCAATAGAATAGTATTTCAAAGAAAAATGTTTATCGAAATTTTGGATCCGGTTTTCCTGTGATTTTTAATTTTTTTTTTTTTAAGTAGGTCACATTTCAAGTAGGTCACATTTCGGGGGCGGGGGCGCAGATAAGGAGATAAGTTTCCACTAAGGCCAGGTGGCCTCCAACGAGGTGGGAGGTGAGAATCCCAGGTAGGGTAGAGGTGCCGGGATCCTTCCGAATTCCCGGTCCTGGGGCGCCAGCTCTGCAGGGAATGGCAGAAACGCTCTCCGGACTGCGGAAACCGAGGCCCGTCAGCCAGCCCCTGACCGGCACGCAGGTAAGGGCGCCCCCTTAGCAGTCGGCGCAAGTGAGCGGGGCGGGCCGCCGGGTATACCGGAGACCCTGGAGCGGAGGAAAGGAGGAAGGGAGGCGCCGGGTGGGTGCGGGTGACAACCAGCTGGAGCGCCAGGGGGAGGGGACTAAGGACGGCGGGCGCCACTTAAGGAGGCGCCGCTCTCCTGCTCGCTGCCTTCTAGGACCGGATCAAGGGGACTGCCGCCGGCCCCCGGCCGTGAGCACCGGGCCAAGCAGGGGTTCTCGGTGCCATCACTGTGTCTTAGAGACAGAGAGTCCGGTTTCCGAGGACACACAGTCACTCCTGCACCCACCCCCCAAGTGAGCGGCCAGGAGGGTCGCGTCAAGGGGACGCCGCCGGACTGTTGAGAGGAGCCATCCCCAGTGGCAGGCCGGACGGCTATACTTCCCTGAACCCCGGCGCTCAGCTGGCCCGGGTAGGGGACAGGCTCCGGCCGCCGAAACGGGGTTGGCTGTGGCCGGGGACTTTTCCAGCTTGCCCCGGAGCACCCCGGGGTGTGGGGCCAGAGGCCGGCAGACCCCGGCGTGCACACCGCCCACCCTGAACCGGAGCGCTCGCAGCCGGTCTTTCCTGAAGCCCCTGTATTGCGCCCGCGCCTCTTTAAAGCGGTAGCGGGGCCCGCGGTCACGTGAGGCCGATTCCTGGAAAGTTCCTGGAAAGCGGCCTCCGCAGCAGCCGGGTGGGGCGTGAGGAGCAGCCGGTTGGGGAGGGAGGCGTGGAGCGAGGGAGGCGCGTCGGGCTGGGAAGTCGCGCGCACTGGCAGCTCCTGGGACCGACGTTTAACTCTTGCCAAGTCTTGTCGCCGCCGTTGCGGCTGGCGGGCCTTGGGCTTCCCCTGAAGCATGAGCCCTCTCGCCCGCAGCCACCCTCACCGCCTGGGCCGCGGACAGTGCGCGCCGGTGCCCCGGGCTCGCCGCCTTAGGATCCCCTGCGCCCGCAGCTCGGGAGCCCGCGGCAGGTACCGGTGGAGGGGCGGCCTGAAGGCTCCGCCCGGAGGAGAATTGCCCGGGAGGGCGGCTGGGCGCGGCCGCGGGCGCTGGGGAGCCGCGGGCCGCCTGAGCGGCGGTCGGCCTGGGCTTCTGCAGCTCGCAGCGCGGGGAAGAGTCTGAGCCGCGGCTCTGCCCGGCGGCCTGGGTTGCTGCCTGCTTTCTCCGGTCCCTTCTCGGCGTCTGGAAGTGTCTGGAGTACATTTTTTAAAAATTTTCCCTAAACTGCCATTCAAATTAATACAAATCCTAATAACCTGATCTCCCGCTCCTCCCCACCGGTCTGCCTCCCGCCCTCTCTCCTTCCTCCCCGCCTCTCTTCTTCCCACCTCCCGGGTCGCAGCCGGAGGGAAACCGGCCGCAGTCCCAGGGTGGGGATGTCCCAGCCCGGAGGGGGCGTCGCCATGCGGTGGGGGAGGGGGTCGAGGCAATGATCCTGCGGGCTTTTGTGTGCCCTCTGCGCACAGAACTCGGGCCGCCGCCTCCGAGCGCGGGGCTGGGCGCATCCCCGTGCATCTCGTTCCCAAATTAAACGTTAACGGGGGAAACAAGGGCAGACGCCCCTCTTCTCCCGGGCCCCTCCCGCCTCCCCCCGCCCCATGTCCACTGAGGAAGCTGCCTGGCGCGGAGGCGGCGGCGGCGGCCGCGGCGGAGGTCGAGGTAAGAACGAGGCGTTGGCGGTTTGCACTTCCCGCAGCGCTCGCGACCGCCGGTTCGGCCCCGGCCTCGGCTCGGAGCCCCGCGAGGGCTGAGCGCTCCGGCCGATTCCTCGACAGCGCCGGCGGCTGCGAGAGCTGCCGCTGCCATCCTACTCCGGGAACGACCGCCGCGGCGCCCCCAACTCCGCCCAAGCGGGCACCGGGAAGTGGGGGGAGGGGAGCGAGGAGCCTCCGGGTGGGGATGCGGCAGCTCCCGCACCTCCGCACCCGGGGTTGGTGCCTCGGTGTCCCCCGGCGCTTTCGGGTGGAGAACCAAGTTTGTGTGGGTGCTTCTTCCCGGAGGCCTTCGGGCTGGCCAGGTGTGAGACGCGAATGCCAATTTGGGGAACGTCTCCTGCTCTTTCCTTTCAAATTTTTTCGACTTATCCTTGACAAGGGCCTCGTCCCACTAGATCTGCAGGTGACTATTTGCCCTTCCTAGGCCACCAGTCTTTGATTTCAGGGAGTGGCCCTGGGCGGGAAGACATCCTGTTCACCCTCATCCTGACCTCCGCCCCCCACCTCCCTAGCCAACTTTGTGTCTTGGATCTCTGCTCCCTTTATCCTTTCTCTAGAGCTGGGCCAGGGCGCTAACTGGATGCTTGGGGTTAAACGGTGCAGGAGCTTAGAGGCGGAGGAGTCCCTGGGATTTTCCACGTCTATTTCCCCACCCCCACCCAGCCGCAGGGGTCCAGTTTGGACTGACCCAACCTCCCGCTTTCTCTTTGTAGGCAATCAGTGGGTGACCGCGTCTGCGAGGGACTTTGTCATCCGTCCTCCGGGACCTGTGGAGAAATAACCCCATCCCTTCCTTCTCTGCCACCATTTCGAACACCCCGCAGGGACTCGTTTTGGGATTCGCACTGACTTCCAGGAAGGACGCGAACCCTTCTCTGACCCCAGCTCGGGCGACCACCTGTCTTTGCCGCGTCGACCCTTCTCCCATGACCCTGCGGTGCGTCGAGCCCTCCGGGAATGGCGGAGAAGGGACGCGGAGTCAGTGGGGGACCGCGGGGTCGGTGGAGGAGCCATCCCCGGAGGCGGCGCGACTGGCGAAGGCCCTGCGAGAGCTCGGTCAGACAGGTAGGAAGCCGACCGGCCGCGACACGTGTGGGAGGGGGCGCCTCCCCAAAGACACAGCTAGGAAGCGGAGCCGAGGTGGGAAGCCAAGAGTAAACGTTTCCTTGCTTCCAGTCTTCGGTCCAGGGTAGGGGAGCGCGGAGAGCACGCTTGCAGGGTCCTGGGTCCTTGGAAATGCGTAAGGAAAGTGGTTCTCCAGGGACTCAGGCCTGGCAGAGCGCAGAGGTCGGAAGGGGCTTCTTGGAAATAGCTTCTTAGCACGCTGGAAGCTTTACTGTTTTCCGCAGCGGCTCAGGGTTAGGCGGCTCGGGCTCGAACCCCAGCCGGGGAAAGCATCCGGCGCCTCCCTTTGCGCGGGGTGCAATCAGCAAGTGGGCGCCACGGGCTCCGCAGGCCCAGCCGCATCCGGCTCCCGGGCGGAGCTGCCGCTGCAGCCCAGGATCTTGGCGGCCAAGTTCAGGGACTGACACTGCCGCAAGGGCGGCTGCCTGGGCGTGGAGAGCAGGCTGCAAAGCCCCCGCCGAGCGCGGCTTTCAGGGTCGGCGCGCCCAGGGGACTGCAGTTTTCAAGTGCAGTCGGGCAATTTGCGCGGCACGCTGTCCTCTCTAAGCATCTGTAAAAGGAAAAAAAAAAAAAAAGTAAAGTATCTGGCTTTTCAGATCCGTATCCTAAAAGCTTACAGTTGTGTCACAGTTGAAATTTTGGTAGCAACATGGGGAGGGAGAGGGAAAAGCTCCCTCGCTTGTGATTCCGGTCTTTCCGTGTGGGCCACGGACTTTCCCTCTGGGGGAGGCACCGGCGGATTGCAAGTATCCTGGTAATGGTGGGGTGTGGGGAGCACAAAAGTTCCGATTTCTTAAACATAGACGATCTTTGAGCCTCCTTAGAAAGCAGCATGGGCCGGGGAGATGGTGCAGACAAATGAAATCGAGAATGCAGGGGAGACCAATGGTTGTGATTGGATTTGGATTAGGGCAAAGTTCAAAAGAGTTTAGGGAAGATTATACACTTGAAGTAGTAATTATCACTTGGGACTTCCCATTTTTCAGTGACTGATAAGGTAGTCATAAAGCAGCGAACAGAAGCTATTGTACTAGAGCTGTGCTTTTGCAACAAGTACATAGCAGTACTTTCTACAGAGGAGCCTGTTCACATCAGACTCTGCAGATTCTTTTCGGGGGATGGCACCAACCATCCAAAAAAGTTGCTTCTGTTTTTACTCCAGTTGAATTACAGGAGTTGGGGTTTTCACTTTTTAAACGGCATGGCTTTTATTTCTAACTTCTGATGTATTTCTAATTTACTTAAATCTTTATTTTACTGAAATTGAGTTAAAAGAACCATGCTTCATCAGCCAGTGTGGCATGCTGTCAATGTTGTTTTGGTTCGTTAGAAGAAAATTTTAAGAAGAGCTTCAGAAAGTTATTTTTTACAAAAGAAAGAAAGAAAACTGGCTTGCCGTTTGTGTTCGTAAAATGGATCAAAATTTTAATTAAATTCCTACCAAAAGTATTTGTGGTGGCCCCTGGTAAACCATCACTCACACATCTTTGTTTTTTAGAGCTAAAAAATTATTGCCAGTTACTTGCTCTGTTCTAAAAATTATTATAATAACTGTTTTACCCTCTTTTCTTTTTCTTTTTGAACAAAAACCCCAGGTTGGTACTGGGGAAGTATGACTGTTAATGAAGCCAAAGAGAAATTAAAAGAGGCACCAGAAGGAACTTTCTTGATTAGAGATAGCTCGCATTCAGACTACCTACTAACAATATCTGTTAAAACATCAGCTGGACCAACTAATCTTCGAATCGAATACCAAGACGGGAAATTCAGATTGGACTCTATCGTATGTGTCAAGTCCAAGCTTAAACAGTTTGACAGTGTGGTTCATCTGATCGACTACTATGTTCAGATGTGCAAGGATAAGCGGACAGGTCCAGAAGCCCCCCGGAATGGCACTGTTCACCTTTATCTGACCAAACCTCTCTACACATCAGCACCATCTCTGCAGCATCTCTGTAGGCTCACCATTAACAAATGTACCGGTGCCATCTGGGGATTGCCGTTACCAACAAGACTAAAAGATTACTTGGAAGAATATAAATTCCAGGTATAAGTGTTTCTCTTTTTTTAAACATGTCTCACACAGAGTATCTCCGAATGCAGCTATGTGAAAGAGAACCAAAACTTGAGTGCTCTGGATAACTATATGGAATGCTTTCTAAAAACGGCTGAAGCTAATCTAATTTAAATGCCTGAGTGGTAGCTAGGTGTTTAAAGTTCCTCCAGATACTTTACCTGAGTGATGCTTCCCTTCCTAAGGCTGACCAAGACCAGTGATCTTTTTAGATCAAAAATAAAATGTCCCATGTAAAGGCCACAGGCGCTTTTTATCAGAATGCCTTGCCTTCTTAGGTTCCTTTCTGTTAGGTCAAAGGTCCAGGCTCCAGTAGGAGAGAAAGAGCTCCTCATAGGAATACTGAAGAAGTCGGAGGAACCAAGCTGATACAGGCTTCACTGCAGTTTGATGTGCCTGCTGATCAGAGTCTCTTTTGGGCATTTTATATTTTGCATTCTGATGTACCTAGGAGTTTTGTTAAACAGATTATGTGTGTATTTATCCCACTTTATGCAATTAACCAAATCAACCAAAAAAAAGTGACCATGAAGTCCTGTATTTGTCTTTTTACTACATGTATGAACTCTCCTGTGAATGAGTACTGTAGTAATCCATTTTAAGGGAGCCTTATTCGAAATATTTCAAACTGGTGCAAATGGAAAAGACTTTCTCTTTTCCTTTAAGGCTAAAGACAAGAATGTCATGCTATACAGGTGCAACTCAATCCCTGTTAATAAAAACCAATGTAGGGATAGGCATTTTACCCTTTGAAATAGCTGTGTCCCAACCTGTTGCCATTGATTTTTTGGAAATGGCTTTAGAAATTTCCAGGTTGTCCTTGAATTATCTAACCATGGACATAAACAGTTGTCTCCCTTCTACTGTGTAGAGTATTTTTGACTTAATTTTCTTCCAGATACAGGGGGATACCTGCCTGTTTTTCAAAGTGTTTATTTACTGCTGTTACTATTTGATTAGAATGTATTAAATAAAAAAAAAACCTGATTTCTACAAGTTGCACTTAATTACTTTGAGTTCTAGAGAACGTACACTTTCATGGTAATCAAGAATTACCATCAAAACTTATGTCAAGTGAAATAAGCCAAATATTCCACAAGAGGTAGAACATTACTTGCCCTTCTCTAAAGTTATGGGCTGTACTTGCCCCATTGGCAATTTAGAAAGCATGGTTTAGAAACTGCAGGAATTGCCAAGTGGCCTGGTCTTTTACAGTTTGAATAGGAGTAACACTGATGTCCTCTGTGTTCCCAAAAACATGGTTTAGAAATTACAAACATTATGCCATGGCCAGTTGAGCAGGTATAATACTAAAGAAAATACAGTTTTATGGCCACTTATTTTTTGCTATGTAGTCTGCATAACTGTTATAAATGTACCATCTTTTCTGGAGTCCAGACATTATTCATTTCACTGCCTTTAAAAATGTCCTGCATAGCTACAATACCATCGTGTGTCACCAGAAAGGTGGACCCTGGGTGAATGAGAAAATTCAGTTCTAAATTAACAATAAAATCTGCTTACTGCATATCTTACCTTATTTTCATGAAGAAGTTGAAAAACGGTTTTGTGCCTGGCAGGAAACATACTATGGATATCCAACCAACAGAGCCAAACACAAAAGATTGCTAGGTGTGCCTTAGGAAGAGTTTATCTGTGGCCTAAAACTGAAAGAAAAGCTAGACTTTCAGGGTCAGATCTATGATGGGGCCATGACCGTTTCATTAGGATGTTCAGGATCTGGGCTTCATTCACCCTTTTTCTCCCACTGACAACATCTGTTTAGTGTTCGATGTTTGATTTTTCTGGCAAAACTTCTACATGATCAGTGCCAAGGGGCTTTGTAGAATTTCTTAAAAGTCTTTTGCATTTCTATTGTCACTCTTGAACACTGTATTTCTCAGTTACCAGGACCTGGGGAGGCAGTTGCAGGGCATGAGTACCTGTGAAATTGCAAAGAGTTCCAAGTTACTGCTCGCAAGTGACTAATTATGAGAAAGCTGGAGCATAACACAAACACCTCTGGAGTGTGCCATGAAACCTATTGCCTTATGTTTCAATCTTCTGTATTCCAAATAAGTTGTTAAACATCAGGAGACAATTTTTTTTTTTTTTAATGATGAATGACATCATTTATTTAGTGAATTTATTGTGAGCCAGGTTCTTACTCGGCACTTGTATTATCTCATTTAATTTTCCCAAGAATGGAATGAGCAAAGTACAATGATAATAGGAGGTTCACCTCCTGATTTGTGAGACAAGAAGCATTCCAGGAATATCCTAGCTTTTTTTTTTTTTTTTTTTTTTTTTCTGGAAAGGAATTGGGAAGAGCAAATTGCTGCTGAAAATTTCTACATTGATCCAGTTAAACAAGTTAGAGCAGGCTGTAAAAAGAACCCTTGGTCTTTTTATTGCTGCTTCAACCAGATCAACTGGAAAAAGTATAGATACCTTAATTAACACTGAGCTCTGGGGGATTCTAGTCAGCCTGGCCCAGCGGTATTTTTTCCCTGAACATGCCTGAAAGGGGAGCCCATAATGATTGCTGTGCAGGTGGGTGGGGAAGAGGTCTCCCATTTTACTTAGTGGCTGGTCATGCCAGTTACCAATTATTGGCAGCCCCGTTTTATACATGGTAGAACAAAAAGTACACTTGTCTAAATTATCCTCAGCAAAGCCTGGAAAAATATCCAGTGTTTTCTCCCAGTGCAGAGCACTTTAGGGCATTAGTGAGGATATTTAATATTATTTCGTTGTTGAAGAATATGGTATACAGCACTTATATATCCCCAAACTCTGAAAGTATTTTGACCAAAGTTTCTGTTCTGGGCAGAGATGAGACAGTGAGGTTTTTCATGACCATCGACAGTGTGCAGTGGTGATTGCTTTTTAAGGACTTGGACATTTTCTGGAACTTTGGACAGTGGAGAAAAAGGCAGTTCAGCTTATGAGCTGAGAGGTCTTTTTCGTGTTTCAGTAAGAAGGTCTTGACTTCATAATAATTATGTAATCCAAATAGGTAACAGAATGGGATAGCTGTTTGAGAGTGTTTATTTTCTTGGGAAGGACTTTCTCTGCATTTAGAAAATTGTACCCTGTTAGGAGAGTAAGAGACAGAGACATCATCGTCATCAAATAATCCAAGGGATGGAATGTCCTGAGATCCGGCTGTGCCCTTCTTGGTTGTGAGTTTAGGCACAGGGTAGGCGGGGTTTGAGCGGCTGTGGTTAGCTCTAACAGCTGGGCTGCAGTCTCTGTCTGTAAGTGGCCCTTCCTACCCTTTAGAGCAAAACGATGTTGTTGTATGCCTTTCATTTACTTTAGAGTCTTCTTTATTCTCCTTTCCTAGTTTTTTAAATTTCCTGGAATTTTAAAGCTTGAAGCCGCTTTTCAGATCACATATTTCATGGATTTTATGGAAGACTTTTGGATCCAGAGGGGCTGGGAGATTTGCATGCACACACACACACACACACACACACACACACACACACACCCAGCCAATCAATGACAAAGCCAGTATTCAAACGCAGATATTTTAGTCTTACGATTACTATTTGTAAAAGTTACACACATCTACCCTTTGTTAAAATTGCCCAGACTCTTTGCTCTCCTGAAAGCCCTACAGTTCTCTTAACATCATATTTTTCTTCTGCTGGGATTCAGAAGCCAGGCCTGTGGAATACCCTGTGGGCTAATTCCAGTTCTTGGCCTCCTCTACCCGATTTTGAAAAGTCTGCCTCTGCTGGGTTTTGTGAGTCTTGATCCACGTTCATTTTTTTTTGTTAATTTTAACTCCTTAACATTTCTAATCTATTTATTGTTTTAAAATCCGAAACCTCCCATCCATGTTGTTTGATGATCTCATTGCTACCTCCACCAGATGTGACTCACACCCAGCCACAATGCCCAGTCGACTGCCCACCCTCCCGTCCTTACCAGCAGGACCCATGTTTGCTTTTGCCCGCTCATGGGCATAGTGGCATAGTTAATTCCTGCCTTACTTTCTCTCGTTTCTATCATAAAGTTGCCCTCGACTCATCTAACACAGCCCTTCTGGCGTGATACTCCAGTGAAACAGGATAATTATACGCTCCTTGAGTTGGGTAATTGAATGATTTAGAATACCTTAAGATTAAATCTCTTTGTATCTCTCTCTAGTTTCATTCAGGTTGTGAAGCAAGTAGCCAGCCCCAAATGACACACTTTTGTTATGGGCGTTTTTTAAAATCAACTTATTTTTTAAGTATGGCGGGTTCCTTTTTCAGTGTTAAGTTGACCTTCATTTGCACGGAATGAAAATGCCCTTCATTCCTTTGCTTCTGCTGTATGTCTATATGTCTATACGTAAGAATGATTCTGTGAGACTTTTGTTTCATTTTTTCATATGCATGGTTCTGATATTATCGTCTTTACATATTTTTGATTTTCCTAACTTTTCCTCTGTGTGGCTTGAGTTCAGATAACTTTATTACTAAGGTAATAAAGGTAGCAGCTATTGTTAGAGTGGCCTCTAAAAGTCCTGGAGTCTCCAGGGTCTGAAGTCATGGAGCAGAGATGGCATTCTATCTACCTCTTCCTGAGCTTTGTCAGCAAAGGAGGCTAGATCAGCTAAGTGTGCCACAGAGAATAGGGCTTACTTCAATAAACATCTATTTATAAAAATAAAACTAACTGCTTTCATAGACAACTCTCACTTTGACTCACATCCTTAACTTATAGGCATTCTGACTTGCCCTAAATCAGGAGTGTATTTTGTGATATATTATTCACGTGGCTTTGCCTCTCTTAGAGAAAGTCTTGCCAGAGTCATAGTGAAAGAGAAGGAAATATCGCCAGCCACTTTTTTCTCCTGTCTCAGCATAAATGCCACCCAAGGAGGCCCCTTGCCATGGCGGGGTGAGACTTTTTCACCACTTAAACCATCATAGAACTTCATAAAATTTTTCTACATCGCCCCAGTTTCATACAGTGCTGAAGATAAAAATTTCTTTTTTTTTTTTGCTAAGCATTTTTTCTCTTCCCTTCCTTTCTCCCCTTTAGTGTTTGGTCCAGAATGCTGCTGTGATCTTTAACATTCAGAAAAATTCATATTAGCTGGGTGCAGTGACTCACAGCTGTAATCCCAGCACTTTGGGAGGCTGAGGTGGGTGGATCACCTGAGGTCGGGAGTTCAAGATCAGCTTGGCCAAAATGGCGAAACCATGTTTCAGTGGTTTCTACTTAAAATACAAAAATTAGCCAGGCGTGGTGGTGTGTGCCTGTAGTTCCAGCTACTTGGGAGGCTGAGGCAGGAGAATTGCTTTAGCCTGGGATGTGGAGGTTGCTGTGAGTGGTGATCTCGTACTGCACTCCAGCCTGGGCAACGGAGTGAGACCATGTCTCAAAAAAAAAAAAAAAAAAAAAAAAAAGACAAGAAAAAAGTCCATGTTTTTTCTGTCCAGAGGAAGTTGTTTGACCTCCCATTTTAACATCCCTCCTGCCATCTTGATGAACTTGACCCATCTTAGGTTTCCAGCATAGCTTATTTCTTTTCATTTTTATTTCTAGGTTGTGGCCATCAGTTCTATATTTGGTCAGAAAGCGTCTTTGTATTTTGCATATTTGATTAGAGCATCTGCTGGTAATTATCGGTAGGAATAAGAGGCAGAGAGAATGGGGAATAATAGAAGCACATAAACACATCTGACCAATAGTTTCAACTTCCTCCCCATTCTTTCTCCTTTGCTAGAACCACTGACAGAAAAGTCAGCTGCTTCTCTGGTCTCTCATTTTATTTTCCTTGTCCATCACATGATAGGGATGTTAATATGCAACGAACTGGCTAAAAAAATATCAAGAGAGAAAAGTAAGGGAGGTGGAGCATCAGTAGGGTGCTGAGCCTCCTGATAGCCAATTATTAAATACTTAAGAGATTTTGTGAGCTAAATTATTATGCATAAATTATTAATAGATTGAAATCAGCCATGCTGGGATTATTACAACACAGAAATT